AAAACGATGTGGTCCGATTTGTTGATATTGTACAGAAGTAATAATTTTTAACCTTCTGTATTTTGAAATTCAAACATTCCCAGTTATATCGACAAAATCATTTCTCCACTTATCTCGGCAAATTCACGGGTTTACATACATGGTGGTGATTTAATATTTTAGGAATGTGCATTGCAAGTATGTTGAGATTACTTTTAATGATTATGGGATTATGGTAATTAGGTGATGAATAGTTAACGAGGTGTCTCACGATCAGTTGGATGATAATATGATCGTCAAGTTATCTGTTCGCAATAATCGAATTTGATTTGATTTGCGGAAAATTTTGTTTTGACATCGAATTTATTGAACAAGAGATTATTTTCGTTATTTCCGTGGAACTCTTCACATTTAGAATTTATTCCTTTACTTTTTGAATGTTTCATAATTTGTAGTTTCATTTTCATGAGGTCAACGTGTAATCTTCTATTGGTTATAATTTTCACTATGTTGATTTATTTGTTTGGTTGTCGGTGAATAATATTTTGGATGCACTATCAGTTGTTTTCTTTTTGTGCTTATTGTATGACGTTATCAGTTTTTTGGCGTTAAGAATTGTTTNTTAAAGGTTTAGCTGAAAAGGTTATCGGTGGTATCGTTTATCTAACAGGTTTATATTTCTGTTTGCGTGTTTATTTGCTTATTCAATCGTTATATAAAGATTATCATGCATTCAAATGTTTTAGTTCTAGAAATGTTACTTTTATGCTTTCTTGATAACTTCTTGTGGAAGTTTATCTCCTTTCCAACGGTTTGTCTGTCTTTACGATATTAATGATGAACGCACAGTCTCATTTTCGTCTTCTTCTGAACAGCCAGTTGGGGCTAGCTTGCACATCAGAACAGGCTCACCATCAGAGAGTATGTGAGCCTTACGAGCGATTCGGTTGCTTACTGCTAAACAAATGACGACAATACATTACAGCAACAGAAATTATTAATGCATATAAATGCACACCGTATTAATAGACATTTTTAGAAAATTAACACCGCACGGAAATAAGTGAAGATTTTCTGTTCGGTTGAGTTTCGGTTCAATTCGAAGAGATACCATTTTCAGCTCGTAATGAAAAGTTAGGTGAAGCGTCATTATCGAAATTGCTCACTGAAGTTGGTGATAAACGTAAATCGAACATCAAATACCATCAGTTGGACATCACGAATCGCGATAGCATACAGAAATTCGCCGATCACATAAAGAAAGAATATGGTGGTTTCGATGTTCTCATCAATAATGCCGGATTCGCTTTTAAGGTTTTTTTTTAAATTCATTTATTCATTTGGATGTGATCAAATCGTTGCAAATGTGTTTATGAATTGTTTTATTTCATTTGCAAAAAAAACTCTGTCAAAAATGTTCATTATGAGTATGTAATTGTTTGTGGATGAAATGGATGAGTAATTGTCGCATTGCAGACGGATGCTACGGAACCACCAGAGGAACAAGCACGTGTGACGATCGCTGTCAATTATGAGGGTACCAAACAAACTTGCGATATACTCTTTCCACTGCTGCGTAACGGTGGACGGTTTGTTTTCATTGAATCATCCAACTTTGGCATTCTCATTGAAGATTTTCTTTTCCTTTCAGTTGCATTTCCCATCCGTTTAAGTTGCATTTCACATCTCAAAAACGTGCGATTTATACTCCGCATATATCTTTTGATGCTGTCATAAACAATGTTTTCCTCTTTTTTTTGCGCGCTTGGGACTGGTAATTAAGTCCATTGCTTTGAAATTTTTTAATGATAGAGTTTTTTTGCAGTAAATATAAATTTGACTGATCCATTCCTTGAAGTTGAATATTCACATAATGTAAATTTGTATTTTTAAGTCAGTTCATTTACTGCGTGGTTCAAGCTCATTGTATGCGAATTTTGTGGTAAACGTATAAGTCATTATGAATACATTACTGTTTACTGCAATAAATAAACGAGGTAATTTAAAGAGTGGTGAATGTGTGCAGTCAAGCGGGTATGCTGGAGGGTCATTACAGTCAACAAATAATAGACACACTCACGAAACCCACACTGACCGTGGCCGAAATCGATAAATTCACGAAGGATTATATTCAGTGAGTTGCATTTGTTGTGGCAGATGATTATTTCGGTTATTGTCCATTAAAATAAGTGCTGTCTCGTACTGTAGTTTTTGATATCGTTTCGTATTGAGGATGCAGCAGGATAAAGCATCGTACTATTTGATGAAAATGTTTCTAGTGGCTCCATCGCACTATTTGCACTGAAAGTATAACAGAATAGGATGATGTTTTTAGAGGATGTATTGACGGGAACATAAAAGAGAAGGGTTATTTACGTCAATCAGCTTATGGTGTTTCAAAAGCTGCGATGATTGCATTATCATTGGTTCAGTCACGTCAGCTCAAGTCAAGAAATATCATCGTCAACGGGGTTTGTCTTTTGTCTTATACAATTCAGTCTCGAAGTTTCATTGGTTTTGTTACGATTATTCAATGTAAATTTATTGTTATCCAGTGAATATTCGGATTTTTCAAGAACTGTTTCCAATCATTTTATTTACCTTTACATCTTATTCATAACTGAACCAAAAATCTGAATCTCCAGTTTGAACGGCATATTTCTTAAAATCAATGAGAAAGAGATCCAAAATCGAGCTGTATTTGGTAAAATACATTAAGCAGATCTGTTTTTCAGTGTTGTCCAGGATATGTTGATACGGATATGACAAGTCATAAAGGTCCGTTAACGATTGAACAGGGTGCTGATACACCCATATATTTAGCTACGCTTGAGGGTGATGAGCCGAATGGTTGCATGGTTTACCAACGGAAACCACTCAACTGGGCCGGTGGCAAATCAATCTTTTGATATCGTTTCGATAAATTCAGTGAGAATCTAGGCGATTTATTGCAATTTCATTAAAATCATCATTATCCACATGCAGCCATCAAACTCTTTTTATTTGCAATAATTTATTTAATCAGCTTGTTACGAGTACATTATCCTTTATAATATGCATATCACCAAGTATCATTGCTTTTATTATCATCCGTCGTTTGCCTTTGTACATCGTCACCTTTGCTTATGTACAGTCAACGAGATTCAACTCAGCTGGGAGCTTGTCATTCAGTCTTTATGAATTTCGATATTTGTTTCTATCACATGTTTTTTCAATAACGAAGCTGAACTTTTGTTTGCATTTTATATTTTCATACACTGAATTTATAAGTTTTCATCAAAGTTCTATTAACTAGTTATGTTTTGATAGTTTGATATTAATTCTGCGAGTTATGGATGTTTATCAAGTTGCCCATTGTATTTTTGAGCAGTATTGATCGTACAACTTCTGTGCGTTCTATTTTTCAAATTTCCACTTTGTAATTTATATTGTTTACGAAAAACATATTTAGTGAGAGTTAATCGGATCTTCATTTTTTAAATGATAATCTTTACTCGGATGTACTAGAAATTTAAGGACGTTGAACTGCATAAGTCGTGTGCATTGATTTTTATTATATTTAATTTGTATCATAACTATTGTGTTTTGGATTAAAATATCCTGCTAATTATGGATGAATAAATGAATTAAGTGATTTCAAAGTTACACTTTGAATCGATTTCACATTATGGTCATTCCATCACTATTAGTGTACGAAATAAAAACCAAACATTTGCGTAAATCTCTGTCAATCGATGAACTTGGTGGAAGTAACATTCGGTAAATAAATTGTCAACTGCTCAGGTAGCCAGGGATTACTATACCTTTCCACGGTTAATACCTTCCATCGTTGAAGGCATCTTTTGATGGAAGCGATATTTTTCGTCCTAGAAAGTGAGTCCGAAGAACTCTCTATCAATGATTTGGAAATAAGTGGAAGTGAAGGCTTAAATAATGAATGTGATAGTGGAACAAGACAGCTGTAGTGCATCCGAACAGTGTGATCAAAATATGGTCAAACAAACTTCTCAACGTGATATTAATGTAATTTGATGTAATTGATCAGTTTGCTCATGCTATGGTGATGTTAATAATTTCTATCATGACATAATACGATTCGTTACAAAATACATCACAAAACAAAACAAAGCAATAAAATACTTCCCAATCCTATATCTACAACTGTACTGAGATCAACTAATTGTTCCTACTCTTCATTGAAATAATCAAGTGCAATTGTAAGAGGAGTTAACGAGCAATTTGTGAGATTTGAAGTTAACGATAATATGATTCGTTGATTCAACGAGATTCATTTCGATTTGGATATGACGATGAGTTCTCAAATTTTACTGTATCGAACGTACAGATTTTCAAAACCCTAAATGGAAGAAATAAACATTTACTCAATTAAATGAATGAGAAAAGCTCTGTATTTGCATTCCTACGTCTGCACCTTAGAACTTTATAGGAAAAGGTGTTTAATCATGAGGGAGCGGGGTTGGATGCTGGATAAAGAAGGGATTAAGAACTGCTAAAGTTTAAAATATTGCAAAGCTTAATGTAATAAACGACAAAAGCAGCTTATTCACAAGCATCTGTTATTCATTGTCGTTGTAATTCAACGACTAATTCGCGTGAAT